AGCCAGATTGGTTGGACTGTGGTTCTTCTGTTTATTTATTTTATGTATTTTTCGACACAGTCTTGCTCTGTCGCCTACTCTGGAGTGCAGTGGTGCAATCTTGGCACACTGCAACCCCTGCCTCTCTGGTTTAAGCAGTTCTCTTGCCTCAGCCTCCCAAATAGCTGGGTTTATAGGTAGGTGTGGCAACACCTGGCTGATTTTTGTATTTTTAGTAGAGACGGGGTTTCGCCATATTGGCCAGGCTGGTCTCGACTCATGGCCTCAAGTGATCCATTCACTTCTGCCTCCCAAGGTGCTGGGATTACAGGCATGAGCCACCGCGCCTGGCTGCATCATTCTTAATCACCCTAACATTTTCCCTCTTTCCCAAAAGAGTTGTGTATATCCTTGGGTGTGGATCCTGTAAGTGAAGACGTTATCTGAGGAAATAATGGTTTGGGTCTTAAACAGTCTGGTTGGAGCTAAGTTTATATGACAGGTATTATATTGTAAAAAGGAGAAAAAGGTTATTTTAGAAAGACACCTGTTAGAACCTGCTTTTGTTTGTTTGTTTGTTTGTTTGTTTAGTCTTACTCTGTCGCTCAGACTGGAATGCAGTGATACGATCTCAGCTCACTGCAACCTCCACCTCCCAGGTTCAAGTGATTCTCCTGCCTCAGCCTCCCGAGTAGCTCAGCCTCCAAAGTCCTGGGATTACAGGCGTGAGCCACCACACCCAGCCAGAACCTGCTTTTTAAAAGCACCCTAAACCTCTTTGGTTGTGAATTTATATATTCTCTGCCTTCCAAGGGCCGGTCTTTGAGGATATTGCTTGGAACTAAGTTCATACAGTAGATATTTTATTTAAAAACAAAAACAAACAAAACAGAAAAGAGACCTCCAATAAAAGGTTTCTTTTTTTGTTTGGTTATTTGCTTTTTTTTTATTTTGAAATATAATGCTTGTTATATAAACTTAGCTCCAAGCAGGATGCTCAAAGACCAGCCCTTCTTGGAATGCAAATAATATATAAATTCATAGCCAGAGAAGTTTAGAGGTGTTTAAAGAAAACCAGGTTCTTACAGGTGTCTTTCTAAAATAACCTGTATCTCTTTTTTACAACAATCAACCAGAGTGTTTAAGACTCAAACCGTTAACTGGTGAAGGAAGGCATTCCCTGATACCCTAGGTCTGAGAAGAGGGATGGGTGGTGGAGAGGGGGAGGGAGTTTATTCGCCCTGTAATTGTGCCTGCACCACTTACTTTCAAGGGCATATTTGGATCTGTTACTTGTCAAAGTGGCTATCAGAATCACCTTGGACTTCTTGAAGGGTGGGTTCACAACCGAAAGCACCTATTCAAAATTGTGGAAGTAATAAGTAAATCTTCTAGAACCATACCCTTAGTGATAACATTCCACTTCCAGCTGTTAAATGTCCACTTCTGTTTCCTGGATAAGATACTCAGTTCAGGAAGGAACTTGGTTACATTTGTCAGAGCCCCAAATCTGTGATGAACTATATCAAGTTCTGCCTTTGGGCTGAGGCTGGTTACTGGAGGTCATCCTGTGTTTCTCTCTCTTTTTTTTTTTAAGAGATAGGGTCTTGCTCTGTTGCCCAGGCTAGAGTGCAGCAGTGTGATTATAGCCCACTGCAGCCTTGACCTCCTGGGCTCAAGTGATCCTCCGAAGTAGCTGGAAGGTGGGACTAGAGGCATGCGCCCCCACACCCGGCTGATTTTTGTATTTTTCTCATAGAAACGGAGTCTCGTGTTGCCTGGACTGGTCTCGAACTTCTGGGCTCACACCATCATCCCACCATGCCCAGCCTGTTTTGTTTTTTTAAGAACAATATCTCTTGTATGAACTTAGCTCCAAGCGTATGCTCAGAAACCAGCCCTTCTTGGGGTGCAGTTTATATACGAGTTCATAGCCAGAAAGATTTAGAGGTGTTTCGGGCAAACCAGGTCCTTACAGGTGTCTTTCTGAAATAACCATTTTCTCCTTTTTACAACAAACCAGAGTGTTTAAGACTGAGACAACGATCTCAGATAATGTCTTTGAGGACCCTCACCCAGGGATTTACACACTCCTCTGGGGAGGAGGAAAAATGTAATGTGAAGAGCCAGAGTGCAACTGATCTGGCTTTGATCCTCTTTGGTCCACCCTGGCTGTGTCACCTTGAGCAAGGAATAGAGCCTCTGAGTCTCCCTCTCTTATTTCTGCTGCCTTAGGATTAGTCAGTTCAGTGAGACGATGTAATAAAGTGTGGGTGTATAGTACACTCTCGGTTGTAAGTGCTCTATAGTAATGTCAGCTACCGAGGCTGGGCATGGTGGCTCATGCTGGTAATCCCAGCACTTTGGGAAACCGAGGTGGGAGGATCGCTTGAGGCCAAGAGTTCAAGACCAGCCCAGTCAACATGGTGAAACCCTGTCTCTACCAAAAATACAAAAAATTAGCCAGGCATGGTGGCATATGCTTGTAGTCCTAGCTACTCGGGAGGCTGAGGTGGGAAGATTGCTTGAGCCTGGGAGGTGGAGGCTGCAGTGAGCTGAGATTACACAACTACACTCCAGCCTGGGCAACAGAGCGAGACCCCATCTCAAAAAAAATTTTTTTTTTAATGTTAGCTACTGTGATGAAGTCTCTTTCTGAAAACTAGTTCTGAACAAGTTGCTGTAATTCTTTCTACTTTTTGTGTGTAAACAAAGTCATTGTTTCTTTAAGGGATGATTCATGTAGGAATAGAGAGGGGCTGGGGAAACCAGATGGGGCAGGTGGGAGGCAGAGTAAGGGATTTCCTTTATGCCCCAAAACACATTTTTCCCCTCGAATAAATAATGTGTGTGGATCATAAATAGAAAAATTTAGAAAGGCATAAATCTAAAAATTATATATGTGATATATAAGAAAAAGAGAGCAGCTGTGGAAGGGCTTCGTGGCTGATAGGCGTTAACTTGCATGTGAACACAGATATTAACAAGTAGAAATCTCATCCGTATGCACAGTGCCTTTGCATCATGCGTTCCCCGCCAGGTCTTGTCTGTTCCATAGTTTCTGGTAAACTCTGGGCTGAGAAGAGACACAGGCTGGTAGCCCCTTCTGTTTTTAGGGGCCAAGATAATGGGGAAAGGATTGCATTTGCAGTGATTTTCTTATACCGGTATCGTCTTCAAGTCACAGCTACTTCTTTGCCTGAAGATGTAAGAACGGAGGATTGGAAAGATGGTTGCTTTAGATGACTCTTCATTCATCCATCCAACCATCCAAGTGTGCAGCTACAAAATTTATTGAACATCTGCTATTTGCCGGTCACTGTTTTAGGTACTGAGGATACACTGTGAACAAGACAGACACAGTCCCTGCCTTCGTTGACTTCTGTTCTGCTTAGGACAAATCCAAGACAGCCCCTATTCTGTGCATACAGACCACCTTTGACTGCACCATAGGGTGGTGCAATTCTGCACAGTGTCATTGGTTTTATAGTTATCACAAGGCCTGAATTGTCTGAAATGACATTCGGCACCTGAACTCTGACACCTTGGCACCTCCATAAATCTTGAAATTTCTCTGAGTTGTGGTGTGTAGGAAACCTTGAGGGACAACCGAGGAGTCACTGTGAGAGAAAGGATGTCCCAGGGAGTAAATAGATCTTACAGCTCAGACTGTAGGGACAGGAAGCTGGAAGGGTAGAGCTGGAACAAGTCTCGAAGCAGTGAGCTTCCCCAGAGTGCACCAGCGTTTTCAAGCTGTGCCTGCGCAGACAGGAGCAGGTCGAACAGAAATACGTTGAAAACTAGCTCCCGGCAAGGACAGGCAGGATGTCATTTTGCACCACAGCAAGTGGGCGAGAAGCAGCTCTCGAGCCTCAATGTGAGACGTCCCAGCAAACCACCTCCTCCCACTCCCTCACTGCTGCCTGCCACAGCTACCTCTAACCCAGCAAAGCAAAACTGCAAAACGTCTGTCTTCTGTCTTACACCAGCCCTAAAATACCTAATGAGGCTCTCATAATTTGCCAGAACCCACATCTACTAGAGAAGCCAGCCCTTTTGTTTTAATTAAGATCCCCTTGGTTCGCCCACTTGACCATGGGCTTCATTGAGGCTGTGCCTGTCTTGTGCAGTGTTGCGTCCTCAGCAGGTAGAACGGTGCCTGGCACCTGGGAGGTGCTCAGTAAATGTTTGTTCATGCATAAATGAATCAGACCCACTGGCCTCTGGGAAGAGCATAGGAGAGGGGGACAACAGCATGAGGACCGTATGTTTGCCACCTTGCTGAAGGAATTTCAGCCAACATAGTAAGACATGAAAATGGCATTCGAGGTGTATTAGACGGAGAAGGGGAAGTTAATATTTGCAGGAGACTTAGTCTGCCTCAGTGATGTCAGTCAGCAGCGATTGTGATTCCCCAGGGGACGCTTGGCAGCTTCTGGAGACAGTTTAAACTTCCCCAGTGATCTGTGATGCACAGGAGACATTTTTGGTTGTCACACTGGGGGAGGAGGCTGCATGTCACTGGCATCTGTTGGGTGACACCTACAATGCCCAGGACAACCACAACAAATAATTCAGGCCCAAATGTTGCTGGTGCTGAAGGTGAGGCCCTAGTGTTAGTAACAGGAGGAAAACCCAGCAGTCTCGAGGAGAGGCCTCTTCCCGGGGCAGCCCAGGGGCCATCAGGAGGGGCCATCTCATGCATTAGAGGCCTTGGGAAGGAGGAGGCTTCCTTCCTTCCATCAAAGCAAGCAAATCCTTTGAAAGCTGCATCTCCAAGGGCTGCCCCGGGCTCATAGCAAGCAACCTCAGAGCCCAGAGGCGAGGCTGTGCCACTCAGCTGCCCTCTGGGGTCACAAAGGCATCACTTGGCTTCTAAGAGCTGATGAGGCCTCTCGCGAGGGACTCTGTGTGCATGGGCTGACCCTGAAACTTCCCAGCCTCTCTTCTCAAAGCACCCTCAGGTGACCTCTCGGGGGTTACCCCTCATTGATACCGTGTCTCCTCGTGTTTTTGTCCAGACTCCAATTCCAGGGTTTCAGAACCACATCGCAGCATCTTTCCTGAAATGCACTCAGACTCAGCCAGCAAAGACGTGCCTGGCCGCATCCTGCTGGATATAGACAATGATACCGAGAGCACGGCCCTGTGAAGAAAGCCCTCCCCAGCCCTCCGCCGCTTCCACCCTGGCACGTGGAGCAGGGGCAGGCAAACCTCTTCCTCTGCAGACAGAACAGTGAAAAGCTTTCAGTGGAGGACAAAGGAGGGCCTCACTGTGCGGGACCTGGCCTTCTGCACGGCCCTAGGAGCACCTGGAGGCCGCCACGGAAGCTGAATGACCTGTGTCTTGAAGAAGTTGGCTTTCTTCACATGGGAAGGAAATAATGCCAAAAAAAATCCAAAACAAAGAAATACCTGGAGTGGAGAGAGTGTTCCTGCTGAAACGTGCATAGGAAGCTTTTGCCCCTGCTGTTAACGCGGGCAGCACCTACAGCAACTTGGAATGAGTAAGAAGCAGTGCGTTAACTATCTATTTCATACAATGCGCTCTGTATGCGAGTGGCCTGCTCTCTGCTACCTGGACTTTCATTCTTCTGTATTAGGAGGGCGGCTGCTGTCCTTCAGACTTGCTGCAGAGTCATTTTGTGTCATATATCGTCTCTGTCTCCCCAGTCCCCTCAGAACCATGCCCTTGGATGGTGACTGCTGGCTCTGTCACCTCGTCAAACTGGATGTGACCCGTGCCGCCTCGTTGGATTGCCGGAATGTAGACGGAAATGTACTGTTCTTTTTTTTTTTTTTTTTTTAAACAATGTAATTGCTACTTGATAAGGACCGAACATTATTCTAGTTTCATGTTTAATTTGAATTAAATATATTCTGTGGTTTATATGAAAACTTCATGATTCTTGGAGACACATTGTAGCGTGCGTGTGTGTGTGCATGAGTGTGTACGTGTTGCCACTCCACCAGATAGAACTGTGGCTGGGACATGTTGAGGGAGAAGGTCTAATTGTAGCTGTAGGAGTTCGAAGAAACAGAGAGCAAGATCACAGCAGTGAAAAAGGCCACCAGGTGCCCCAGAGACCTCCTAGACTGGCCATCCCTCAGTGCAGGTTCTGGTCGAGGCTGCACCCTTGGTCCTCCCAGTGCTGGCATCCCTTTCTTTCCATCTGGAGATACTCAGACTCCCGGGGCAGCTTACAGGAGCTCAGCCGCACTGGGTCGGTGCATTCGTCAGCAGCTGTAAATTGCCATGGAGAGCCCCTCTTCCAATGGCTGGTGCTTTCATGCCCTATCCAAGGCGTGAAAATTATCCCGTCTCTGCCAGGATTGAAATACTAGGGGAGAGCTGATGGGGAATTGGAACAAAGTGAGACTGAGGCCCTGGACAACTCGTCTCATGATAGCACCTTCCTTCCCTGTGACCCAGATAAGGCCGTTTTCTCTCGGGAACAGAGCAGGACACGCTGCCAGAGTCGGCTGCCCTGAGCCTTCTATTGATCAAGTTTGCTAAGTGCATCAGTGTCTAAGTCCCTGCTTAGAAGACACTGGACCTCTTTCCACTACAAACTGACTTAAGCCTGATTTAAAAAGGGCAATCACATTTCTCTTGTTTTTTTGAAACAGATCTCACTCCATGGCCCAGGCTGAAGTGCAGTGACACAGTCATAACTCACCGCAGCCTCCAAACTCCTGGGCTCAAACCATCCTCCCAACTCCGCTTCCCGAGTAGCTGAGACTACAGGTGCGTGGCAATACACCCAACTGATTTTTAAATAATTTTTTCTAGAGACAGGGATCTTGCTGTGTTGCCCAGGCTGGTCTTCAGTTCTAGCCTCAAGCAGTCCTCTCACTTCAGCCTCCGAAAGTGCTGGGATTACAGGTGTGAGCCACCATGCGCAGCCCACATTTTCATCTTTACTCAGTTTCCTATGCCTTCAAAGTACTCCCTACATTAATTACCTTGAAAATATGCTCCTGTAAGCCCATTTGCCCCCATATCTTGAATGTTCATCGGCTTAGGGCTCACTCTTCCCCTGTGCCACCCGTGTGTTGTTAATTTTCTGTACCCTCCGTTAGCCACAGAACAAACCCTGCAGAGAAAGTGAAGCCTCTGTGTAGGCCGATGCTCCATGTTGAGCACCTTCTCCAGGAGCCTGGGCTGTCCACGGTCAGGTGTCTCCATGGAGCCTCGGAGATGCTCCCATCATGATGCCTGAACTTGTCCTCCAGAGGAAGCAGGGACGTAGGCGCTTGTCAAGGAGATGCCGTTGGCACCTGGGGACGAGGAACATCCGTGCTGACATCCTGCCCAGAATGAATGTAGCATGTGTTCGTCATTGCTGATTCTGAAGTACAGGAAACCCTACCTCATTATTTTAAGAGCCTCATTCAGTTTTTACTCTCCTATTGTTTGCAGCGATCTTCCTACCCTGACAGCTGCAAACTTCAAAACAATGAAAATCATTTGACTCTGTGTATGTGTCAAAGGTAAAGACCACCCTTTGGGAGGCCGAGGCGGGAGGATCACTTGATGTCAGGAGTTCGAGACCAGCCTGGTCAACATGATGAAACCCCATCTCTACTAAAGATACAAAAAATTAACTTGGCACTGTGGCGGGCGCCAGTAATTCCAGCTACTTAGGAGGCTGAGACAGGAGAATCATTTGAACCTGGGAGACAGAGGCTACAGTGAGCCAAGATCACGCCAGTGCACTCCAGCCTGGGCAATAAAGTGAGACTCTGTCTCAAAAAA